AAACAGATCAATTTTCTACAATTTCAAACATGGTATCAGAGCTCTAGGTTTGCCAACCTTGAGAATTTTTTTCGGCCTTCATTGCTAGTTTTTTCTCTTCGTGTTTTTCTGGTCTTCAGTGTTGATCTGTAACCAGAAGTGTTTCTTTATTCTCCTTTATTCTGGCCAGTTCTTCCCTTCTTTATTCTCCTTTCCTACTGGCCTTATTCTTCCTCCATTAACAATGTCCGACGTGATTGTAACAAGTGCTCCCGTCCAAACCGATGAAGGAGCAACGAATTCTCATCCTCACACCAGTGATTTGCAGAATATTCAGGCAACATATAGACTGAATGGCCAAAACTATTTGAAGTGGTCACAACTAGTGCGTACCTATTTGAAGGGAAAAGGAAAAATTAGTCACCTTCTTGGGACAGGGCCAAAGCTGGGCGAGTCAAATTTTGATGCTTGGGACGAAGAGGACTCCATGATTATGTCATGGTTGTGGAGTTCAATGACACCCGAGATCAGCGATACTTGTATGTTTCTTCCCTCTACAAAGGCTATTTGGGACGTTGTCCAACAAACCTATTCCAAAGCCCATGACGCTGCTCGTGTCTATGAGGTCAAAGTGAAGACAGTGGCAGCCAAACAAGGGAGCAGAAGTGCTACAGAGTATGCAAATCTGCTGCAAATTTAGTGGCATGAGCTTGATCATTATCGGGTCCTTGAGACAAAGTGCCCCGATGATGTTGTGATCTTGAAGAGTTTTATTGAAAGAGATAGGGTGTATGATTTTTTGGTTGGACTGAATGCTGAATTTGATCAGGTCCGAATACAAATTCTCGGCAAAGAAGAAGTGCCTCCATTGAATGAAGTCATAGCCCTTGTCAGAGCTGAGGAAAGCCGCCGTGGAATCATGCTTGAGCCTAAAGATCCTGAAGGCTCAAGCCATGGTGGCAAGGGGAGGAAATTACAGTGTTTCAAAGGGTGAGAACAATCACAACTCGGCTCGTGACATAACCACCCGTGACTCTAATGATAACCTCTGGTGCACTTATTGCAAGAAGCCTAGACACACAAAAGATCGCTGCTGGAAACTTCATGGGAAACCTCCCACATCCAGCAAGGAATGGGGAAATCGAGGAGTTTCTAAAGCAGTTCAACAGGCCCATAATGTCTCCACAATCCCGCAGCAAGAACACTCAAGTCAGGGGCCTTTAATGATGAAGAAGTTGAAAGGCTAAGGAGTTTCCTGAAATCCTTGAAACCAGCAAGTGGTTCTACCTCTCTTGCTCTCTCAGGTGAGTCTTTATCTCTAGGATTACATGTCTCGGCTAGTGTTTTTCCATGGATACTTGATTCTGGAGCTACTGACCACATGACACCCTCTTCACTACATTTTCTCACCTATACACCCTGTCCTA